ATATCAGTACTTGAGTATAAATATATTTCTGATTCAATCCCAAGGCGATCTGCTCTGTTACCAATTTGCTCAATACTCTATAACAAAGGGAAACAGACTTGATAAAAGTGCAAACCACAGGAAAATAACAACAGATTCTAAATAACAGTAATAATAGTAAATGTTAAGCAAAACTACAGCAGCCAATTTCAAGGAATTATAAAAAATATCAAAACATAGATTACCCCTGTTTATGATACAGAATAACAAGATTCAGGATGACTGGAGCAAATAGTCAACAATATTCATACAACGCTTACCAAGAATTCTCCACAGTTTAACTATGTATAAATCCCTCTTCAAAGCATTAGGAGATTTTCTTTTATCTTAAGTGAAAGAACATGGCATAATATATGTGAACTGTGTCCTGTTCTTTTATCTTAGTTCATGAAATGTGTCCTGTTCTGGCTCCCCACTGTTCGTCCTAGATTCATTTGTATTTCTGTGTTCAGAGCTCTCCATACATGATATATGTGAACTTAATATAAATGTAATTTCATAAATTATTCATCCTCCCCCTAGAGGTATGTCATTCAATGATGAAAATGAGTTTAATGATAACAAATGTGATGTAAACTAATCAGAGGCTCAAAAAGAATACACCTCTTCACCAGATACGTATACAACTGGAGCTGCTTCATCACTTTTGCACCCTTCTACTATCATTGCAGCAATCTTTAATGTAGCAATTAAAAAAAGGGGTTAATAAGCAGAGTCGGTGATTTAAAACCAACTTGCATGACCAGAAAAAAGGTTGACAAGTCAAGTAACAAAGCTGACATTCTGACATCGAGATTCTGTCAAGCATGATCCAACTATAAGACATACCTGCAACAGAAGTGTACTCTTCCCAACACCAGGATCACCACCAACTAAAATCAAAGAGCCTTTAAACCCAAAATTGCAGATAAAGTTAGCCTGTGATAGCTACAGTGATCACCAGGATTACCAGTAACTCTATTGAACTATTCAAAACTCTCAAACAAAAGCTACAGTGAAAATGTTTGTGTAAAGCAAACGATTTCTTATATAATGAACTCAAATTAAGGGAGATATAAAGGACCGTGATATAGTTCTTACTTCTTACCGGAATATACATAGATCGGAGGACATGATGCTTAACACCTTGCTCTGGATTGTTAAGTCTCATATCCAGAGCAGCAGAGTGATAGACCTCCACTCATCACATACTCAAGAAGGAAGAACAGTAGGGAAAGAGTGGGAGTTAATGAAGACCATGGTTGATTAAGTTTAACATAACCACTGGGGAAGTTACTGACAACAAGTGCAAGAACTCCTTGATTTTTGGAATTGGCGTTACTGTTTCTTCTTCCCTATTAGTTTTCTTTTGTATCTGGTAGTTAAGATCTTTAATATAGTTATCACAACTGGGATTAGCAGAAGAATCATCCATCGCATGTCATGTAAATCACTTCATTGAAGCTAGTGCGTTTAAGGTTCTTTCATTTGTATTTCTAACAAAAACACCATTTCATTTACTTTTCAATCTCAGTCTGTCACAGATACTCACAAGAAAGAACATAACATGATTTCAAAAGTGAACAGGACATCAGCATAGGTAAGTGAATTGGACTTAACCTGGTACAAGACCACCTCCAAGTACTCTGGAAACTTCATTTCCAAAAGGACCAGAGCTGAAATCAAAGCACACTGCATCATATAGTAGTAGAAGACAAAAGCACCACAGTTTCTTTAAAACTAGACGTACAGGCATTCATGCATATGTGCACAAACATGCACAGGTCCTTCATTTTGTAATCCAAACAATAACTATTTGTATAACGTGTTTATGGAGAATACAAAATCTCTTCAGTGATGTAGACAAAAGCCAACCAGCACACTCATAAAGTATATATCTATCTTTCAAGCACTCTTTTCAAACGAAAGTTATCACTTCTACTACAGTAAAACTATGCCATCATGAAGCAATTTTATAAGTTACCTCAGCATGAGAAACTTCACATACATTGAGGATGAATTTGAAAAAAGTTTAAACGACTAAAAGAAGTGAAACTATGAAAAAGTTACGTTGACGATCGGTATAATAAGAGTGTAATAACAAATCATGATCATAATAAAAATATAAAGCATACAATAATGTCCCATCCATAATCATCTTAGAAGTCAGCATAGTGAAAGGAAGATAAACAAAGATTAATAAATTAGTTAACAGTTACCCCCCCTCCCTAAGTTTTCTCATATCAAGTCCAAATCTTAAAGAATGATTCGACGGAAATGCAGAATCCAACAGATTACTTTCCCAGAGTTAGATTCGAAAACAGGGGTCACCAAATATGAGAGCAAAAAACCAATATATTTAGTGAGTAATAAAAATTAATTATTACACCACTAAATGAGAAGCAGGTAGATGACAATGTATGGATTCCTCTTATGAGAAGCTTAACTTTGATCAGGAATAAAAGCCTCGCACCAATGAGCTTTGGCTCAAGTAGTAGAATCGTCTCCAAGATTGAAGTCCTTGAGTTTGAATTACAGTAAGCTAAGTGAACTAGAAATAAAATTCAGGCCACCTAATTTGAAATCCCTTGATAGCCAACTATCTAGTGCCCAAGTAGACAACAAACTTTAGAAGGAAAATAATATGAACTTACAAAGGAATTCTCCACTCCTGATGATTAACTCCACGGTTCACGTCCGTCAATTTTAAAGGACACAATTCACCTGCCTGCTGAGGGAGCCACAACCCCATGACATTTTCTGAAACTGAAAAGCCACTAACCTTGCCAGAATCACTGAGTTTCGTTTCATGATACTCTTTCATCGTGGAATTACTATTACACGAGCGGCAAAATCCGAACCATTGCCCAGTCGTATACCCACAATTGGTGCAAACCCAATGGGTTTTTCCTTTTTCCTTTTTCTTGATCCCAACTCTCCTTCGAATACCACCATCCTGTTCGGTACCTTGAACTGAGCTCGCCTCCTTCAGTCTCCCATTTGCCCTTTGGCTTCCGAAGTTTTCAACTTCATCCACAGAGTCGGACCGATTATTCTGCCCATCACTAGAGGCTTTAGGTAAATGACTGTATCGCGACCAAGTTGTTCTTTCTTCGGAATGGGCTTTTAAATTGGTCTTGGGTTCTTCTGAGGTATCAATGCCAAGGCTCGAATCTATCTGATGACTGCTTGTGAAATGGGAGTAACGAGAAAATCGAGGGTTTGGAAAGGAACGAAAGGAAGCGACAGAAGGAGCTGAAAGGCGTTTGAGATTGACGGGGTAGAGCAGGTGGAGCTTCGTGGTGAAGACAGCTCTGAGGACTCTCATGACAGAGCTTTGCATGTGAATTGTAAAGCGAACTTTACGCTTACAGAGTATTCGTTTGGGGTTTATAAGGCTAACTACAAACAAAACATCGATTGAAAGTTCAAAAGTTTTTGCCTTTCTGGAGAAAGCAGCGCCATGAAAACCCGCGGGCCGATTTGCTCGCCAAATGAGCGCCAACACGAGTGATTTTTTGAGGCCGAGTCAGAGAACACTCTGTCGGAAATACCATGGTTCTTTTTCTCGTCAGTGTCGGAAATATTATGGTTACACTTACACAACTGTGCAAAGCAATGTAATTTAATATAGACCATCATGTAATTTTATTCGATACTCCCATGTTATGTAGATCCAGGTCCAAAAAAAAAAACAATTATGTAGATCAATTTATAGTTTTTTATTTTATTTCCAAATTAAATATAAAAGGTTAAGAAAAACTGAAATATCCACTATGCTGGGGGTAAACGGATGGCAGCTCCGGACAAATTGTAGCATATGGTGGCAAATGGAACCTTTATGGCGATATATTTTTTTTACAAACCTTTATATCTATTTACCTGAAGAATATTAGGTCAGTAAAAAGTCATATTATCATCAATAGTGCATTTCACATCATATTCCATGCCATTCATGAGATCTACTGTCTAATTTTAGGAAATAACGGGTTGCATGATTCGTAGTTACAATGGTTTTGAGACTTTGAGGTAAGAAATGAGGATGAAGCAACCAAACAAAACGCACAAATTGGTAATATGATGTAGAAGATTTTACATTCTGGCAAAAGATGAAGATGACCTCTATTCACTTTGCAAGGAACGTAACCAAAAAGGGCAATTACATTTTATGGGTGCTTGGTGAATATTATCATTATCATTATTATGACTAATATTTACATTCAGTCTTAATCGTAAGACGCTTTTCTATCGTCTTTAATATAAGACCATTTGTTTTAAATATTATTTTTTAACTTCTTCGGTGACTATTATTTAATATTTATATGGGGGAGATTAACTTGTTTTTCCCTTTCTTCAAGCGATTATTTTTTACTTGTAACATGAAGCCGTATTTTAAATTTTAATCACAACAGTAATTCTAATTACGTGAGTACTGAAATTAACTACGCTTTTCAAACCATAGAGTCGGAAAAGTACTGTTCATGCAAGGCTTATATTTTAGGCTTCATTTAGCATTTGTAATGGTTTTTATTATATATAAAATATTTCATGTATATTTTTAAAATAGTTTTTTACCATTATTAATCATTTATAATTTTTATTTAAAGGCCATATAGATTTTATTTTTTACTTTTAAAATAATCTTTTCTTCTATTTTATCCAGTATGCCAAACAAATTCCAGATCTCAGTCTGCTGGATCAACTTGTCCAATTATATATTTTTAGGAAAAGTCCCATTTTTTTCATTTTGAAGCAAGTATGATGACAAAGAGTTGGCCAAAAATAAAATAAAATAAAAATAATAATAAAACGAAAGAAAAATGGTAGTAATAGAGGGGAAGTTGAACTGTAATTAAAAGAGCGGTTAACAAGGGCTTCCATTTATTTCGACGCTAAATCTGGTCTTAAATATTAACCCTGCCAGCAAATCTTGATCTTCGCCAAAAGTTCCAGAAAGTTACAACTAGTTGATTAATTATTTTGGTTCTCCAAATGACATGTCATTCAAATTTCATTCTTGTTTATCTTTCCTTGTAACCCAATTTTCATCCCCATATCCATCCCAGCTAAATAACACAAAAATCAGGGCCTTTGCAGGTAAAGCCATTTTTTTCTGCAGAGGAAGAAGCAAACATGTAATCAAAATCGATTATACAAGACAAAATATCAAAAGGCCCAGGAAATATATGATACGATAATTATGCAAGGTAAATCTCCTATCAGTTTTTTTCCCTGAATATAATCTCAAACTGAATAATTTGAAATGGCATGGTGGGTTTTGGGTATTTGTCTACCACGAACGAGTTTTTGAATGATTGGAATTTAGTTTTGGTTTAGTTTCGTGATCATTTCAGTTTCATTATTGATGATCATGTGCTTTTTCTTGGCGCAGAATCAATGATGTATAGACAGATTGTTGTGTGAATTAAAGCTGCTTCAATTTATAGTTTCTCGGTTCGTTGATATAAAACAAGTTTAATCGAACTGCTGATCTCCGATTGTTATTAAGCATAAGCCAGCAAAATGTCTTGTTCTCATGGAGAAGAGAATGATGATGAAGACAAGGAAAACCTGAGATTCTTCTGACCTCTAGATGCTTGAAGCTCTTAAAAATGATGATGAGAGAGGGTAGAGACGTAAAGCCTATTCTATTGAAAGTAGGGTTGGCTCTAACTCTTTCTATAGCTGGATTTCTCTTATCTCGCATCAGAATCAGAAGACTCAATTCTTCTGATACAAAGAGCCACTCAGACCATACTTCAGGTTTCTATCTATCTATGTATCTTTGCTTTTCTCATTTTCTTGACTGGAATGATGCAATAGTCTAAATTCTTAGTTACATTATGTTTTGTGTGCAATGCACTTCCCAGGTTATGACGGCGACATTAGTTCAGATAAAACTTCTGATCTTCCTCTTGCCATAAAGCGAGTGTCTAGATCAAGTTCTTGCAACAAATTTTCAGATGCACATTTTCTGCATACGGTAAGTTCCAACGAGAAATTTATTCAAAACTAGACATTATTAAGAGGATCCTCAGGCTTTCATTTAGCTCAAATTGGGGAATTACACTATATTACCTCCATTTTAGGAAGAGCCGTTCATCAAGGAGGTGATCAGTGACACCACGCATAGTAGGTCAAAATTAGGATCTCCTCCTAAAGCATATGTAACTCCAGAAAAGGATGACTACGATCGAGAGATGAAGAACCTCAAGAACATAATCAGAATGCTTCAAGAGAGAGAAACGAGTCTTGAGGATCAATTGCTCGATTACTACGAACTTAGAGAGAAAGAAACAACAGTGATGGAGCTTCAAAATCGCTTGGCGATTAGCAATATGGAGGCAAAAATGTTCGATCTGAAGGTCGAGAATCTGATGTCTGAGAATCGGAGGCTAGAAGCACAAATGGCCGATAATGCGAAACTTGTAGCAGAGCTTGAGCGTTCGAAAGCGAAAGCGAAGCTGCTGAAGAAAAAAATTAAGCATGAAGCTGAAGAGAACAGGGAATTGATAAAGAACCTTCAACAAAGAGTTCTGAAATTGCAAGAAGATCACAAAGGTGCTGGTAGTGATGAGAATTTACAGATGAAGTTGCAGAAGCTGAAAGATTTAGAGAGTGAAGCAGAAGAATTGAGGAAGTCCAATTTGAGATTGCAGATAGAGAATTCAGAATTGGCTCGAAGATTGGATTCTACTCAGATCCTTGCAAATGCTTTTCTCGAAGATCCAGAGGTAAACTAGATTTTCATTTTATTCCAGCTTTCTTCCTTCGTTTATGACCCGTTTGGTAGCATGGAAATGGAGGCACGAACCAAGCATGGATTCTGCATATGTGTATCTTACAAAATTATTTAATCTTATTAACTATTAATTAATAAAAAATTATTAAATATGCTTGATTAATCTTATAATATATTTTATTAATATTATTTTTAATTGTTCATAAACATCCTTCTATTGGAGCAATCTTATAAAAATTTATGAATTTAATTCTTATATCTAAAAAAAATTGTAACTGAACTCTTATGGTTTATGAAACTATTCATTTAATTCCCTTATGTTAAACATTTTAAAATGTTATGGTAAATTTTATTAATATTATAAATAAATATTATTTTAATGATTTGAATGTGTATAATTTACTGTGATAAAAATAATAAAACAACGGCCATGAGCTTGGTGATAATGCTATATCCAAAGCCGAGGCATGTAAATTGCTATTAACTTAATGTTAAGTTAAATTAAATAGTTGTAGTTGCCTTTCCAGAAATAATAAAATAACAAAGCAAAATTAACAGCAAAACAAAACATTGACAAGACTATAATAATTAGGATTAAATAAAAGAAATTAAATTCTAAGGTGTTATTTGGATATTTCAGAGCTATGGCTTTCGTATATGATCGGCACTCAACTGTAAAGAAGCGTTGATGCAAACTTTTTATATTTTAATACATATTGACGTTGTTGACTTGCTGTGTTATATACTCCCTTCTTAAAAAATATAAAATATTTTTAATTTTTTAATATATAATTATTATTTTTTTTTTAAGTATCCCTCATAATAACTTTATATTTATTATAAGATGTTTAATATGAATAAATATAAAAAAGGTAAAATTAATTAAAAAATAAGTAACTATTTTATTAAACTTTATATTTATTGTAGGATGTTTAATATGAATAAATATAAAAAGGTAAAATTAATTAAAAAATAAGTAACTATTTTATTAAAGAATAAAATTTAATTAAAAATATTTTATATTTTTAAACTAAAAGTGTATAATATATATATATATATTTTTTTTTTCCCCCCTATCTTATTTTACAAATTTAAAAATGATATGGCTTGCTACACGCATGCACTTGCCTGCCTCTTCAGAGGGACGGAAATTTACCTCGTACTTTTGGATTTGGATGCAGAAAGATGCTCTCAAGGAAGAGACTGAACGTCTTAAACGAGAGAATGAGAGCTTGACGAAGGAAATTCAGCAACTTCAAGCAGATCGATGTTCAGATGTTGAAGAATTGGTCTATCTTCGGTGGATTAATGCTTGCTTACGATATGAGCTCAGAAACTATCAGCCTCCACCTGGTAAAACTGTTGCAAGGGACTTGAGCAAAAGCTTAAGCCCTACCTCTGAGAGGAAAGCAAAACAGCTCATACTTGAATATGCAAAATCTGAAGCAACCATGGACTTTAACTCACCTTCAGACCAATGGTCCTCTTCTCAGGCTTCTTCTCTTACAGATGCTGATGATTCTTCTCCTTTTGGAAACTCATCTGTTCGCAGAATTCACACTTCAAGCAAGAACAAGTTTTTCCACAAGCTTAGAAGACTAATCAAAGGCAAAGATAGCCAGCACCATCGTGTTCAGCTTTCACCTGCGGAAAAATGTGGATCTCAAGATAGTAATTCCCCACAGTTCTGTTCAAGCGTATCAACTGGGAATGACACGTGTCAAAGGCGAGAGCTTGACACTCCATACAGGATATTCAGAAGTTCTTCTGATTTCCACAGGTTGGCGATTTTGAAGGAAGAAGACAGCAGAAATTCAGATGGCACTAAGCTGGGAATCTCAAAGAAGTTCAGCCTGAATAAAGGGCACTCGGCAGATTTTAAAAATTGCCTTGATCCTTACTCTGATACAGTACACGTAGAGAAAACCCCATTAATGAAATATGCAGAAGCTTTAAAAGACTCTGGTGCATCTTCCAAACCCAAACATGGCTTTGGAAGAAGATCAGCATCACACAGTTCATTTTAACTTAGTAGCTACTTGTAGTTTTCCCCCCTTTTAACTGTAGGCATTTAAAATTAGTAGGGTGAAGGTGAATGCCACTGTACTATGTTACATTAGCATTTAGGATCTTTTCGGACACTAATTTGTGTTTGAACAAATAATGCACTTTCGAATGTATAGTAAGCATTCATAGATACAAATTTCGTTGAGAGTATCACTATATAGTTACCTTCTAGTGGGAAACACTTGCTCTGTGTTAATGGCTTCTCAGTGTTCAATAATTCCTAAACTGTTTACCCAAAATACTCATTGTTGTGAGGCAATTGAATTATTTAATCCAATGAAGATCATGATTACAAGATACTGAGAGTGAAAGAGAAGAATTTAAAATAAAGAGAACAGAGAGACGGTATGGGAAGGTAAGGAAAATACAATTGGTCTTGTTATAAAACTATTATCCCCTGGGTTGACTACCCAAATATGTACAATTACATACATAGATTTATTTATTTATTTCTGTTTCTAGGTGCGTTTTCCTTTATACATATTGATTTCTTCTGTACATAATGATATCAAGATTTTTACCAGACTATACTTTTAAAGATTCTCTATAGGGTATCATTATCAGAAAGAGCATTCTTGCCCACTATCTTGCTTCTGGACCAGAGGCAGTTTCAAGATCAACTACATGCATGTCAAACGAACTGGTTGATTTCAGCCTTTGTTCATTTGTACCCCATTTTTGCTCACGTGCTGCTTCCATTTCTAAGCTCTCTTTTAGTTCTGGGACAACATAATTCATTGATGGTCTTTGTATAGCGGTTAGAGACACACAAGCTAATGCTGCTTCCACAGCCTTCCACATGGAACCAAAATCAAAATCTCCCTGCAAACTTGGATCCACAATTTGTTGCAGATCTCCTCTTTTCACAAAAGGGGTAACCCAATTCACAATATGAGTGTTTTCTTGACCTTTTATTATTGCTCGCTGCCCTGTAATAAGCTCCAAAAGCACAACGCCAAAACTGTAAACATCACTTCTCTCTGTAATCCTGTATGATGAGTAGTACCTGCATGAGAAAACTCATCTGGGTCATGTCTGTACTATTGAAAGTAAATATTGCAACTTAACATGAAAAGGTGAGGAGATCGGAAGAGAGCAATTATTCAGTTTAAAGCTAAATCAAGGAAGATGTCTAAAGTCTAAACCAATCCTTCCCTTCCCGTCTTCTTTATTCTCTTCAATCCAAGCATACCCCAAGTTATCAGATCAGGGCTAAAAATTCTCTAGTTCACCTTTTGCCAAATGCTATAACTTCTCAGTTCTAAGATATTTGGTCAAATACGTTCTATATTGCACTGAAACAAGTGAGTAACCTAAAAGCTTGGGAATTCTCTGAGTTGAAACATGTCATCAACATATCATGTATTAATTTCTTTCATAAAAGAAATTTATTCAAGATGTCAAAGGAAGTGGGGTTTGTACGTTGTGACATGCAGAAATGTTTCAGGGAAACTTCAACTTAAAAATGTCTGTTTTTATGAGTCTGGTTAATTAAAAGCACAGTCTATCTTTGCATTACAAACAAATTACTCTGGGTCAAGGTATCCGAATGTTCCAATGACTCCGGTTGACATGTGACTTTCGCTTTCAGCTGAAAAGAACTTTGAGAACCCAAAATCAGCAACTTTTGCCTGCATTTTCTCATTCAGCAAAATATTTGATGTCTTTATGTCTCTGTGAACTATTGGAGGTTTGCAGCCATGATGCAAATACTCGAGTCCTAAACATGTAACTTCCAATATTAATCACCTTCCAATCATATTAAAATGAGGAATATACTATTAGTAGTCAGTCTCACAGCTCACCTTGAGCGGCATCCACTGCTATCTGAATCCTATTTTTCCAACTTGATAATTCTTTCTTTGAACCTATTCATTATCATAGACACAGAAGTGTGGTGAGATTCTCTTTTAGTCCAAGATTACTTAATTATGCAAGTATGAATCCCCTGTACAAATGACTGTACCTGAAAGACACTTCTCTAAGTTCCCATAAGCCATGAATTCATATATGATTGCAGTGTGTCCACCTTCGTTACAATATCCAAGGAAGGAAGCTAAGTTTCTATGATGAACTCGCATTAAGAGTTCTGCCTGCAAATACAGAAAAACTTAATGTAAGTGATTTGGTTCCTAGAATTTAATGGAACAATTCTTTAAAAACAAAATGAACAGAATTTTTCAAGGAGAGAAGATCATACCTCTGTCTGAAACTGCTTACTGCTTTCTGGAGAAGAGAGCATTTTGACAGCAACTTGTGTGTCATCAGACAAGGAGCCATGGTAAACAGTTCCAGATCCTCCTTTTCCAATCATTTTCTCGAAGTTATTGGTGATATCCACTATCTGGGAGTATGTGAATTGTGTGTTGTTTGACTTTAGCACAACTTCTTCATGTGATATCACTGGCTGATTTGCTATTAAACAAATTGATTGGTTTTCATGATTAGCATAATTTGAGATGTACATTATACTTAAAATGTTTGAATCTTTTTATTATTATTTGGAATCTTGCGGAAGTGATTGTTTACAAGTTACAACATTGCAGTTTTAAAGCTCATAATACTCTCAATCTAGCCGCGGATGTAAACAAATATCAATTTGCAGACCTGGTTTTTTGCTGAATTTCCTTCTCCAAATAATGCTGACCACAACACCCAATACAATTAGAAATACTACGGATGAAAGAATGGCTATGACCGCATGCAGTGGAAAAGTACTCTTGTCCTCTTTGTTGCATGGAGCTTTCAGACACAGATCCGGATTTCGATCCACGCTGTGATCAGAACAATTTTTCTTGAGTTATTGAAGAAGGAAGTCAATTAAATAATTAAAGATGAATGAAAAAGCAAAGGTGTGTGTTTGGGTGTCCATTCTTTAGCTAATGGGGTACTTCCAATTGTTACCAAAACACACTGAAGGTCCTCAGCTGTCATACTTAGGTGATCAGTACTGGTATCAAGTTTATGATACTAAACGAAGACAAACCTCAACAAAAGTGACCCACTATTTGATCTTTCCATGAGAGGTGAAGGAATTTCACCAGAGAGCATGTTTCCTGATAAATTTCTGCAAGGAAATGTATGTCAGATGGTCCTTGTGAACTTTAAGTGAGTTATAGAAGCAACTAGAATCTCCTACAACTTACAAAGTCTTCAAGTGTGGCAAATGTATGAAAAAATCAGGCAGTGATCCGGATAAACTATTGTTTGATAAATCCCTGAAATACGTGCATGCACAGTTCTGTTGGAGTTAAAATTATCGTATATAACAGGCAACAAATGTTTGAGGAATTTTTGGTATTCATAATGGAAAGTACTGTAATACTGCTTATATTAAATATTTGATTGAAGTCATGATGTTATTAAATTCAAACTCACAGATATTCTAAGGATTTAAGCATGGAAAATGATTGACTTATTGTTCCTGACAAGTTGCTGGAGGATAGATTTCTGCATAAAGTTCACATAATTTTGTCAACATAATGATTTGATTAGTATGGTAAATATCAATTTGAATTTAAAGATGAAAAATGCTTACAATTCAATTATTCTAGGCGCATGATATCCTTTGTAGCTGCAGTTAACTCCATCCCAGGAATAGTACATTGGTGCACAAGGATCTCCTTGCCATGACTTAATTGTGTACGCTTGTTTGATGTCAATAATGGCATTAACTATAATTTTCATAAGCATTGGATGCAGAAATTATTTTACTTTCTAAGAATAATTATTAAAAGACCAAAATCCTATTTTGATGCTTCAAAGATGACCTCCAAATCAATGGTGCAGTAGATACTGAAAACAAATAATTGTATATGCATCACTTGTAGTGCCATCAAGGGTGAACTAGAGCCAATTGATAATGGGGTCATCTTTAGAAGATCAAATCGAGGTTTGAACAAGCCAAAAAAGAAAGTGCAAAAGATCTGTCAAGAAAGTGAGAAACAATTAACCATCTTCTTGGGCTGTAGGTTCCTGATATGAATCTTTCTCAAAGTAAATCTCCATTGCATTGAGAATGGGAGGAAGGCTGGAATTTTCTTTCTTGTTCAAAGAGAACCAGAGCTTGGGTCCTGTGATGGGCTGTGGATTATAAATTGTGGTAGGGTCCAAATAATTAAGAATTACATAGTCTATAGACTCATCCAACAATTTTCCATTCAATGTGATGTTGAATTTCCTGCGTTCATTTTTCTGTAGCTCTTTAATCTCAGCAAAGTGCATATAAACATAAAACTTTGAAATAGGATCACGCGTGTCAAACTGAACATCCAGGGGATCACTACCATTAGTTGGGGTTACAGCAGTTCTCATTACTGTTGATGGCAGTCGATATGCGTTGTTCAGGGAATCAATGGTCACTCTAGTACTCAGTGACTGACAATGAGGTAAATTGTAAGGATACCAAATTCTATCATAAGTATCCTCTTCAAACCTGCATGAGGTCAATCAACAACGAAGTTAAATTCCACTTTTACCAAGCTACAATGAAGCAACAGAAGTTGAAGTGGATTTTTTTATATCAGAAATTATAATAAAAATTTCTTTTGAGATTTTATTGAATAACTTCAGTTTCTAGGTTGAATTGGCTCTTTGTATGGCATAAGAGCCTCCATGATTGGACATCTTGTGCTGAAACATAGACAAAGCACTTCCTTACCTATCTGTGCTGAAATTTTACTTGTATAATAGAGATCAGGGGCAACAAAGATATATCGACATTATGTCAATGAATATTTTATCATAGTATTTCTAAAAGTAAACATCTATGCTACTGTTTTGTGTGCAACATACTGTTTCCACGGACTTGACTGACAAGAAACTTACCTTACTATTTCATTGGTTGTGGAACCAAAGTCAAGACGTTTATATAAAGCTAAGGTTTGAGACTTGTTAGCATAAATGAAATTGTGAAGATGCCTCATCTGCAATGCTGATATAAAAGGAGTTTCTTCATAGGCGTTCAGTAAGCAAACATGTACAACATCCATTGGTGGCACATGTAAAATCTCCTTTATTACAATATGAGAGGCATTGTCAAACTTCACAGTGTCCCACAAATTAACTCCAATATAAAGATCAAACTTGGGCGGATGATTCAGACCATCGTAGTTGCCATACATGAAAGAAGCTCTCAACAAGTAAACAGTATTTCTGCCTTCTGGATGTCTTAGAGTATAACAATTCCTCTTACCCTCAGGAAAGCTGCTTACATTTTCAAATATTCTTTGAAGACTTTCAGAAATGAACTCAACTGATAAGTTCCGGTTTTCTCCAGTGTCAATGACTTTTGAATCTGTAGTGTAGGGTATCTTAGTTTTGCCATCAATATAGCCTAGTTCATCAAGTAGGCCACAGTCAATGTCAATAGAGCCTGAAATTATTTGCACAAGTTAGCATCAGAACAATTTGATTACACAACAGGAAAGTCTATATTTTTTGTGTGTAGATTTTCATTTAAGTTCAGAACAGAAGCCAGAAGGTAAAAGAAAGGACTCACCACCAACATCATCTAACTTCCTTCTGGCATGTTTGTGATGTACAGAGTTCTTCTCTGCAGCTTGAACTATGGATTTTCCATCAACTTCTTGAATCGCAAATATTGATACAGAGACAAGCCATAACAAAGAGCACCAAGCCCAGTTGCATCTCAATTTCCCAGTCATGTAATCTCAGTGAGAATGCCTATAAGAGAATATTATTGAACCTGCATATGCTTTGTGCTAAGAAGAAGAATGATAATTTTAACTATAAAAGGCAACAAACATATGGATTGTTCTGTACATGTTATTCTAGGTAGTTAAGGAATTTATCTGCCAGCAAGATATCTGTATAGTCACTAGGTACCTCATTTATCTGCCAACAAAATCTCTCTCTCTCTCTCTCACTGGATAACTCTTTAGTCTTGAAGTGTGGAAAATACACGCTAAGCAATTAAAAATTAGTTAAACATAGTTTCAGCGTTAATGCTGCAACTTGACGTGGAAACTTCATGTCCTAGTGATGCAGTGCCTACCGTCTGGTTTGTACCCTGGTTTCCGCCTTAAATAAACTACTGTCAGAGCTCTGAGGACCCAATTACACTACTGGAAGATTGAAAGGGAAAGAACCTTGAATGATCAACTTTTTTGTTTGTTGAGAATGTGTCAAAACGTCGTTGTGGGTATTTTCAGTCTTTAGCAATTCAATTAATGCTACAACTAATTACATTGACTATAGACAATGTAGGAGGTTGGGAATGCAAGTAGATGCAACTTTGCGCCGCCTTGCCATTGGCCAGGTACATGGGACCAACTACTTAGCCTATCATGTTCAGGGCAATTGGCACTTGACTTGATGTGACTACGATAAAGGTCATTGTTGGCCACTGAGTCATTGACATAGAAGTAAACTTAGTCAATAGATGGCTAAGATTACTTCCTTGTTGACACAATCAAACATGACAAAACCACCGTCGCTTGGTTCAATTGATAAGGGACATATACTATTTTAACTAGAGGTCTTGAATTTGAGCCTGAAAATGCAGTATCGTTAGTTGTAGAGTTTTCATTTGAAAATATCTCAACCCGGCTCAATCCTGACCTCCCACACCCCCCACTATAGGTCTTGAATTTGAGCCTGGAAATGGAGCAGGCGCTGTGTGCTTGGCTAAAAAGAAAAAAAACAAGACTAGACAAGGCATTGAAAGATTCTTAGAAGGATCGATTTGATGAGACAAATTTTTGGGGCATTTCTTGTATTGGTTGTGAACAAATGTTAATGGGCCCTTCAATAAAAGGAAATTAATGTTATCAAGTTTTCACTGATTCCTTACGAGTTCGGGTTCAGATATTACATGGGAAAATTTCTACCAATATTAAATGAACGAAGCCGATAGTGAATATGTAAATCTGTTTAAGTAAGCAGATTGAAATTCACCTTTTAGACACTTAATTTTTAAGGAGAATTACATCCAGCCTCTTTTTAAAAGAATTAATCACAAATAAAAACTAACAATAAATCTCATTCGAGAAAAATAATTTATGTTTCTATTTTAATAACAACTTATTTTGTATTGATCTTTATTTGTGATTAATTTTTTCGAAAGAGAGTTGGATGTAACTTTTCTAATTTTTTATTGGCCAAGTGAAATTTGCTAGTCGTGCTGTTCCCCAGTGCTATTTGTTTTGGACTTTCAGAGTGAAGCCTAATTTATGTAGGCCCACGGACAAACATGTGGTCCAGATTACTGATCACACTATGATTGAAGAGAGAGTTATTTTGAAGGACTTATTATACCAACATTAATTTCATAGCAGATGATTTCTCGTATAAAACTCTGGCTTTCCTTGTACTGTGCTGCATTATTTTCATTTTTATTTTAAAAAAAAGGAAAAACGCCAAATAGAAAAACCACTTTACATTAGTGTTACTCAAATGATGATGGAATATGCTACTTATCTTATACACTTCTCACTAATGTGGGGCCTAATTTCACGTACCTTTGAGGCTCTACATCTATGAGTTGTATAAAATAGAGTTAATTTTCACAAGGAAAATTGAAATATTAGCTATATTCAATTAAAACCCATGCAAGGAAATTAGGAATTTTACTGTTCATAGCGTCAACAAAGTATAAAAATTCGTAGGTAGACCTAATATAACAATAATAATAATTTAAAAAAAAAAACAACCAACGGCTTTGTCAAAGTAAGATGTCATGTCAAAAGTGGGGCTGATATTCTTACATATTTATTCATGATTGGCTTAGTGCCTGTTTACATAGGTTTATAATCAATTTTATAAGTTAAAGTTATAATTTTATGAAAATATATCCAAACACCTTTATTATATATTAAAATTAATTATAAAATTAAAATTATATTTTTTTAAATATTTGAATACTCATTATATATGTTAAAATTAACTTTGAACTTAAAATCATGTTTTTTTAATATCTAAACACCTCTATATTTATCAAAATTCATTATAAACCTAAAAATATGATTTGTAAAATAATTTACATGATTTTGAATAAATTTTAAAAGGTATAATTGAAAGTATGAATTGAAAAATAGGTAATAATAGCTTATGAGATAGCTATAATTTTGAATTCATAATTGATTTTGATATATGCGAGAAGAATATTTTTAAGAAAATTATAGTTTTGAGTTCATAAGTAATTTTAATATGTACAATGAGTGTTTGGATATTTTTTAAAAATATAATTTTGAATTTATGATTTATTTTAACACATAACAAGGGTGTTTGAATATATTTTTATAAAACCATGGTTTTACCTATTTTCAATTCTGCTTTTCAATTTTAATTAAAATTAATCTTATTAATTAATTATACATATCACATAACATAATCAATTAAAATTATATTGAAATGGCCTATTTAAATTTCAATTGAGCATAATTGATTATAAAAATAATTAATTAATATAATTAATTTTAATTATAATTGATTATATTATAATGTAATTTGTTTGAATAGTGAATTTGATTTCAGCTGTTCAAATTATCATAAATGACATTACTTTATAAAATTAAATTATTGATAAAATTATATTTAATATATTATTTATAATAAAATTAAATTTATAAGCAACTTCTTCAGAATTTATTTCAAAACATGATTTTGACTCAATTATCAATTATCAAATTAATTAATTGTTTGGATAATTTTTCTGAAAATCAATTATTTAGCCTCAATAATCAATTTTTTTGTCAATCAAGATAGACAAAAATTAATCATATTAATCAATATTTTTATAATTAATTATATTCAATTGAAATTCAAACATATCCCTTAATATATGGCCAGCCAGAATGTTCTCTCCATGCGATGTTATATTTGAATTTGAAGGCTTAATATTCACACACCCACCCACCCTTGTGTTTCTGAATACTTGTAATAACTTCTCTTCTTGAGGGATGTAAAACTAAATTAATTTATATGTTCTATTTTATATACTCCTTCCGTTTTTATTTTTTTAAAAAACTATTATTTTTATTTTTTTATATAAGTAAAATCACATATTTTAATAAGTATTCATTATATATTTTCTAAATCATTCCTACATTAATGAGAAATAATTAATGTATGTTTATGTTGATTAACATAGGACATTTTAATCTAATTTTTTTATTTTCAGACATAATTATTATGGTTAACTAATTTTCTTAAACCTTGTGATATAATTTTTTTCTCTTATATATAAAAAAAAAGGAGGAAGTATTAATTGACTCTATATCCATTAAACAATCAAGTGAGATGGAAGGAAATCAATATCCATAAGTTCACATTTTGCCAATGAAAAAGATACATTGGGAAAGTAATTTTATTTGAGATTAACAACGATAAAATTTAACCCGACAAAAATTGAACTGGAGTGGAACTCATACTTGGATTTATTTCTGACGTGATATAATTAAAAACTTAAAGGTACATTTTAATAATCCATCACATACAGATGGCAAATTTCACAGAGGATGCTTACAACAAACTCGTGGTACATAACATTCTACTTCTGGCACTAAAACACACAAGTTAATTCTACTATTACACCATAGCTTATTCCATGATCTACTCCCATAGATTAATATACTCTTAACAGTCTAACTAGTTGGCCTTGTTCCTCATATCTCCAATGTTTCACCATTTCAGCTTCGCAGGGAAGTACTGTACCAGAAAAAAATGATGCATTAGAAATAAAACAAAAGGGATTAAAAGGAAAACAAATATAATATATGAAGGAGATAACAAAGCTTTTATTCCCTTAAATTTACCTCAATAATTAATTTGGTCCTCAAGTTTAATTTTTATTGATTTAATCTCTTACATTTTTTTAAGTTATCATGTTACTTCTTTAAGTTTTAAAATGCAAGTTGAATCTCAAATTAATCTAACATGTAGAGTATATTGTTTATCAATGACTTGGCATATATATATATATATATATATATATAACTAAATTAATTTTGATCAATATAGTCCTTTACACCACGTTTTGTTCTTTTTTTTTTCCAAGTCTGTTTTTTTCCAATTTTAATAATTATATTTTTTTATTAGTCTACATGATTGTTATTAATATTCTATTATTCATGTCAGCATATTTTAACATTGTTATCTCTTTTTAAATAATAAGGATTAAATTGATAATTCATGTAAACATAAAGGATCAAACCGATAAAAATTAAATTTAAGAGATCAAATTAATAATTAAGTTAAATTTGAAAGACTAAAAGTTTCATTATCACTTATATTAAATCTTAAACTTGAGATCTTACCTTCTCAATGAGAGAGAGATAGTATGGTTTAACCTCCCCAACATCTATTCTGACTTTGCTTTTGCTGTATAGATCATATTTGCTGCAGATGAACGAAGATAGAAGAATGTAATTAGAAACACATAAACCAATCACTTTAGAGTTACTTGAAAATCATTTTTGTGTTAGTACTTACTTGAAAATATGTAGCCATTTCAGATTCTCAACATCTTCATCGTTCATTAAGTGCTTATATGCTCCTGCTAAGTGTAATGCTACAAAAAAGAGTATGCAATGAACTTGTGAGTGAGGTAATATTTTGATTTGATTGCGCATGTAAGTTTATCAGAGTTAAAAGTATTTTCTTTTTCTTCTGAGCTGGTCTTACCGTAGAATGAATGATATCTGATAATGAACAGAGCCGCTGAAGGAAGAGTAGTATTGTTCTTCTTTGCCACCTGGGAAAAAAATCCCAAAAGCTTTTAATTATTTTATAATTGATGAATAAAAATACCATTGATTCTCCTATATGATCTAAATTTTTTTAAAAAAATAAATTACCAGATACATGTAGTCATCATGTCCCCAAGACATCATGACATTGTTGAGTCCACATTTCTCAGAGTAGATTCCATATCTCGTGTTGTATGCGCAGTTGTTATAATCAGGATTTTCCTTGAAGTACTGATGAAAAGCATAAGCAAGATTTCAAAAGGCCTTTTCTTTTTAAGATGATGAGAGAAAAGTGAATTCAAAAATTACCTGATGATGAACAATGGCACTGTCAAATCTACAGCCAACTGGGAAAGTATCACCTACAGAAAGATTAGAAGAGAAAGCTCAAATTATAAATAAAAGAAACCCTTCAAAACCAGAAATTCATATGGCACCTTCATGAAGAAAAATACCATACCCACAACAGCCCACTGAGGAAGCCCTCCAAAACTAGGAAGCAAAAGCACTTTCCCAAGATCTGCAATCAACCAAAAATATAATCAAATTGTAATAAGTGGAACAACATTAAACACCAGAGAGATCTAATACATAAATAAGTGAGCATGATACTACATCTTAATACCATGAATAAGACCGGTTAGGTGAAGCCAATCTTCATTGGGATAGTCCCTTCTAATGGCTTCAGCAGTTTGAAGCAAGTGCTCAATCTGAGGCTCATCCAAATCAGGATCACTCTCATCAACCACATCATTCAGCAGTTCACAGCATTCCCAAATGCTCATCTCTACTCTGTTCAATTTCCCATACTCTTCCCTCATCCTCTTCACCTGTTCCATTTTCCCACTTGGTTATTTTCTCACACCATAATTTATTATAAATTCAACATATGTAATAATAGGAGTCTTACAAAGTCATAGGTCTGGTATGTGTGGTTTTTCCTGTAGAAGTTCTGCACTCCTTCTTGTCTCTCACTCTCAGCACCATAGTCCCTGACTCCATCATCAACCATGCCTCTTGTCATCAGATTATTCTAACAGTGTTCTCAACTCTTTTGAAGCTAAATCCTAATCGCTTTGTCTTCACTTATACCCTTGTATTAGTATTATTATTTTTCTCTGAATAGTGTTCCTCAGTTTCAAAGTAATTATATGGGTTAAAAATCAAAATTTAATAATATTTAACTAAAATGTAAAACTATTAGGCATATTTGTTCCACCAATCATTATTTTTGTTCCTTAATGGAGGAAAATAATACTAAAATAATTAATATTTCAATAAAAATGTCAATTATTGTTAGACCGAGAGTTATAGATTTTTTAGGCGATTTGTATTTCTCTGTTTTGCTTCTTATTGGCTCGACTTGTCTCGGGCAAATTTAAATATGCTTGTTCTTGGAAAATGAAAAATAATCTAAAATCCAACTAGGTTATGAAACAAGCTGATTATGAAACGGCTCGTGCTTGTCCTTTTTTTTTTTTTTTTTAAGTATTAATTCATTATTTTTTTTAATGGTCTCAATTTTCGTCAGGTTGTTCATTATTATTCCGCAAAAATTAAGTCAAGATTAGAAGTAAGATCAATCTCAGCCGTTTAACATATTTTAAGCTCTTGATTATTATTTTTTTAATTGATGATCAAAAATTATTTGTTTTATCTTTTACATATTTTAACACAAAATTATTTAATTAAATTCTGTAAGTCGGCCAAAAAAGAGGGAAATAATTTTTTAGATTAAAAATGTAAAGGATTCAAAAGAGTAAAAAATTAAAAAAAAATCAAGGTTTTACGTAATAGACGATAAAAAATAAATTGAACTGCTGCGAAAAATGAGAGATGAACCTAAATGTATGGCCAAATGAGTTTCTCTGTGGAACCACAAATCCCACTTCTTTCTCATTTATGGATGCCTTCTTTTGCTCTGCTTCGTTTCCTGCCATTTTCCGGGAAAACTTCACATTTCAAAATCATCGCCTCATCGGCTTACTTTTCCAAAGAACACGGAAACAGACGCAGTAAATCAACGCGTTAAAACAGAAAATCTTAAAAAAGGAAAGATCCAGTTGATCGGAATCAAAAATTCCAGGAACAGAACAGAACGATCTGCAGTTACACAGTGCATAATTTTCTTTGAAACGAAAGATTCAGAAAGACGAAACGAAGAAATAAGAGAGGAGATTCAAAGCAAAAACAAAACAAAAAAAATTACCAAGCAGATCGTCACGATCAATGAGAATAGTCATCTTGAGATAGAGAGAGAAAATGGCAAGAAAAGTAAAGCAGGAAGAAGAAGAGGAAAGAGACGATGAAGGAAATGGTTGGATATGGAAGAGATTGATCGACGCTATTTATAATCGGCCGGAAGTCCTTCCCTGAGATTTGGAAGTTCCCGAGTCCTCACCTGAAAATCTCCAAAACTTCCTTCCCTCTAGAGGGAGAAAAAATTACAAAAAAAAAACTCTGCCATATATTATTATGTCATGAACATTTATGTCGTGTTTTATAATTTTATTACCGTTTTGTTCCCCGCAAAATTTTGGCCTCACAACAAGTACACAGATATTGCAAATTCAGACTTGAGATCTTAATATATTTCACATATGTCAAATGCAATCTTATTATTCGTAATTTTTTATTTTTGTTTATTATTCTCTTTCTAAGAGCTTTTTTGGCGCAAAATGCCATGAAAATCAGAATGATCAACCAGCCAAGTCATTGATATACCAATTAATGATCAAAATATCAGTCCAACCACAATCAGATTGTCATTAATAAAACATTTCAAAATGTTATTTTAACAATTTATCGGTTTAACTAATGGACTTGAACTGGATTTCAATACTACAATTAAAAGAATTTATTTTAAACTTTAGTATGCATAGAACATTCATTTATAGATATAAAAAATGAATACACCATTGTTCATTTGAAAAAATTTTATATAAACTCAATGCATCACATTATTCATATTTTATCAACTAAAATTCTATATTCATTAACTGTGATGATTCAGATTTTATGAATTAATTTTCTTGCTAGAGTTGCTTATAATGAGCCCAGATTATACTCAAACTGTAAGATAATTATATGAGGGAAAAAATGTTAAGCCACTTCTTCAACCAATAAATAAATGATCAATTAAAATTGGTGTGAATGATGAGAGCTATTGTTATTTAAGTAAGTAACTAAGAATTCGAATCTCAAACCTTATATATATATAATTAGTCAGTTAAAAGAAATCTAATATTTACCCTCGGTTGTGCCTGAGATTGCGAATCTTGTCAAAGGTTGGAACTTTGAAGAATATCTAATTATCAATGGGTCAATGTTGTAATTTACTAATTTTATATGAGAAAATTAAAATATCAACGTTTTTTTTTTTAAAAAAAGTTTTTAATTTTGCAAAAGGTGTATATATGTATATTTATATATGTTGCATTTGATAATAAAAATTTAATCTAAGCAATTAAAATGTTATCATTGCCTCATTTAAATTTTATTTGAGATCGTTTATGATAGAAATTTTAATTCAAATTATATATAAATTTTATTTTAGATCGTTTATGATAAAATTTTAATTTAAATTATATACTTTTTTGATTCTATTTATAAGATATTTTCAATACGTTTCATTATTATCAAAAAAAATTTTAAAATTTATTAATTTTGTTTGAAAATTTAAAATTTTTTTAATTTTATTCTTACTAAATATGCATATTTTAATAATATATTTTTTCTCTCCAACATTCAATAAAAGTTAAATAAAAAAATTTATAATAAAAATTTAATAAAATAATTTATAAATAAAATAAAAAAGTTTTCTTTCATTATTTTATAAATAGAATCAGGGAGTAATTATTTAGAATAAAAATAATAAAAAAAATGAAAGAATTTATTGGCTACTGATTTTCAACATGCTAAACAAGCAGAAATTCAAACTCAAATGTGGGGGCCCGCGGGGACTTGTTATTTATCAGGTCTGAGTCAGCATTGCGTTGGATCTCATAATATCCAGGATTTGTGGGGCCCAGTGACGTGGCACCAAGTCAAAGTTGGATCCCACACGTGTTGTTACCAGATGACGCTTGATATTTTTGCTGCCAGACCCATGAAGGGAGGAACCGACGCGGCCTTTGCAGCCGGACACGTGTCACGATCCACGACTAGCGCGTGTGATAGTATTCCCCAGATCTCTACACGTACGAAGTACGATGGATGAGCCTATTTGGTTTCTATTTGTAGGACTTTGACTTTTATCTCCTCCATTCAGAGGCGTATGCGAGTCTCATTCATCAAGTACTAAAAATCATACTTATCATTGAACACATCAAAATATTTATTTAAGAGCTAAAATCATAATTTTAGTTGAATCTTCTTAAATTAATCATAAATAAAATATTTCATTAAATTGAACAAGTTATTAGTTGAATGAATTATAAGTTCAACTTACCAATATTATTTGCGCGCAACTGTCATAGAGACCTTTCTTTTAACCAATATTTTGAGAATTGAACTAACCTAAATGAATAGTAAAGTTCAATCATTTAATTTATTTTAATAGTTAGTTTGAGTTAGTCTACAATGATCCGGACAGCTTTCCAAAACCAGGCAAAAATTTGAAACTCGGAATGAATGGCCTATTTTGAGCCATTGTTTTCTTTTTACTCTTATCTTACTAATAAAATTTGTTTATTCATTTTAAAAATATCAATGTTGTCCTACTTATATTTTATTATAGAAAATTTTTGAGTGCAAATTTATTTATTGGCATTATATAAATGAAAGCGCAGAGAAAATTGAAAGCTCAATTGTTTTAAAGGAACAAATAAGATAACTAAAAAGACATACATATGAAAAAAAAATGAAAAAACTAAAATTTAATATATTATGATTGAACAATTTTAAATTGAAAATGGTATTATTAGTATTTTTATTGTCATATATGTATATAAATATTATTTTTTATTTAACATGTCATCAGTTCGATCACTGATTAAATTATGAGAACTATGACTTGTTGACCTTTTCGGTCTATTATTTAATTTGGTTTTTAAAAATTAATTTTAACACAAGAATCAAAGAATCAAGCTTTTTATTTAAGAAAGTTGTAAATAATTATTATGCCTTGCTAAATGATGAATTTTATATTGACAATATTCTAATTTTAAAGATACTTTTAGTTTACATTAGATTCATTCCCATTCGATACATGAGATATTTTAATATTAAAATATAAAAATAAAATAAAATATATAAATTAAAAGATAATTTATTTTGTGTACTCAAAATATCTTATTTAGTATATCTAAATAAATTTAAATTTAAATAATAATTATTTTATATTAAAAATAGCTTTGTCCATATATATTAAAGATAAAATAATTATTTATTTTATTTTAAAGCGTGTAATCCCCTGAAACATTTCTACTTTTCCTCTTATTAATGTGTGAGAAAATTTTGAAATCAAGTTAAAAAATATACTTTTTACTACATTTTCTTCCATAATTAATCAAAGAAAAAGAATTGCCCCCAACAAATATTCTTGAATCCATCATTGATTGTCCCGCATGAATTAAAATCAAACTAATAATTTTTATTTTGCAATATATTACCCTTATTTAAGGACCTTATATATATATATATATATATTAAAAAATATTCATGAAACCATACATCATCATAAGAAAAATAAAATTTATACTATAATAAACACTATACTATAATTTATATCATAATTGTATTTATAAATTACAATTATAGCAAAAAATAAGAACAGAAATTACGTATATATTAAATAATGATTTTAAATTAAGCAAATAGCATAGCTAATATTATAGTACTCTCCCCTATCCTGTATATAAGTTACTTTTAATTTAATCATGTTGCTATAATTAAGGAGATAAGTAGAATAATTGGTTTTGTGTAAAAAAGAAAAAAATTCAAATTATTCTTATTAAGTGCATCATATTTAAAAGATAATTTCTCTCTTATATGTAACATTTTCCTATATTCATAAAAACATAAATTTTTATTTAAATTTGTATTTTATTCTATCATTTATTGTCATTGTTGCACATCAATACTTACATATTTTTAATTGTAACTCTCATATTTTTTACTTTTAATTTTACTCTTATTTTTTTTTAACCAAGGGTCCCTCAACCATCTTTTTAATTATGGTGCCCACCCCCACATTCTTATAATTTCCTAAGAAAATTTCCACCCATAAATAAATAAAAAATAAATGCGAAAAAAATTAATAGAGTTTTACTGTTCAAAAAATGTTTATGAACAGTAAATTCCAGTTTTTTGAACAGTAAACCCCGTTAAACTTTGCTGTGTATTAGGCTAGATTTATTATCCGTGCCACGCATATCAATATTAAAAAATAAAAATAAAATATATAAATTTAAAAATAAATTATTTTGTGTACTCAAAATATCTTATTTAATGTATTTAAATAAATTAAAATTTAAATAATAATTTATTCTATATTAAAAATAGTTTTGCCCATGTAAATTAAAAAAAATTAATTATTTAATTTTTTTTAAAGTGCACAATTCGCTAAAACATTTGTACTCTTCCTCTGATTAATATGTGAGAAAATTTTGAAATCAAGTTAAAAAAAATTCTTTTTATTAAGTTTTCCCCCGTAATTAGTTAAAGAAAAAATTTGCCCCCAAGAAATATTTCTGAATCCATCATGGTTGTCCTGTGTAAATTAAAATCTAGGTAGTAATTTCTATTTTGCAATATGGTACCCTTATCATAAGAGTAATTATTTAAGCGTCTTATGTATATTAAAAAAAATCTTGAATCCAGAATTTGTTGGCTCATTCATTATCCGAAAAAAATAAAATTTATACCATAATAAATGCTATACTATAATTTATGTTACAATTGTATTCATAAATTACAATTATAGCCAAAAATAAGAATAAATAGAAATTATGTATATATCAAATAATGATTTAAAATTAAACAAATAGCATATATAATATTATAGCACTTTCTCCCGTTGTATATGTAAGTCACTTTTAATTTAACCACCTCATTATAATTAAAGAAATGAGTTAAGTAATTAGTTTTGTCTAAAAAAGGAAAAAATCAATTTATTCTTATTAAATACATCATATTTAAAAATAATTCCTCTCTCATATGTAACATTTTTCTATGTTTATAAAAATATACATTTTATTTAGCTTTGTATTTTATTTTACCATTTATTATTATTGTTGTATATCAATACTCACATTTTTCATTGCAACTGTCATATTTATTATTTATTTTTTACTTTTAATTTTACTTTTTTTAATCAAGGCTGTATTTTGGGCCCCACATTCTATTATAATTTTCTCAAAACTTTTCTACTTGTAAAAAAATAATAATAAATTTATAAAAAACTAATGGGGTTTTTAGTAGATAATATATAGATATAGATTTAAAATCTAGATGATTATTCCTCTGTTAAAAAATATAAAATATATTTAATCAAATCTTATCTTTCAATAAAGTATTCACTTTTCTTTAACCCAACACTGTCTTTCCATATATAATCATATTTAATAGGATATTTTATTCTAAGATAAATATAAACTGATTTATTTAATAGGGATACTTTTGAAAAGAAGATAATAATTATATCTTAAAATGTTAAAAAGATCTTACATTTTTAAATATTTGACCCTTCAAAAAATATCTTATATTTTTTAACAGAAAGAGTATGTTTTATGAAAACCCAAGTTAGAGTAAGAATTGAGATCATCATGCTCCACATAACACGAAATGTAAAATGGATCATCTCAGAGCTACAGGGGTGGAGACAAGGGGGGACCAACATGGGCCATGGCCTCCCTAATATTTTAATTTCTTTTAATAAAATATAAGAGTTATATATTTTTGACCTCCATAAATTAGCACATTATATAAGTTTTAAGACACTAAATACAATTTTTATTTCAATCATATAATAGTCTTTTACGCATGTATAATCCAACTGTTTTAGTAGTTTAAAGATATAATTGTCATAAAATTCACTTATTTTTAACAAGATAATGTTACAATTGCTCTTAAAATATTAATGTCATTTAATTTTACTTTTATTTTATATTTGATGAAAGAAATTATGAGAATTATTATTAACAAACTTTGTCAAGAATTGCAATAAAAATCCCAAGGTATATTGAATGTCATATGCTTGATATCTACCATAAAATTATTTATTCAAAAGTTAAGAGGTTATGGTTAAGATATATTTTTTTAGAAAAAAATTACTTTTTCCTGTAACAATCAAGCTATTGAAATTTATTATATGAATAGTTTTTACTATGATATATTTAGATCTCATCAACATACAACAATTTGTAACAATTGAGTATCGTTACCATGTTAATATAGAGTTTTTTAGATTAAATAGAACTTTAAATTTCAATAATATATTTAAATTATTTATTTTTATTATATATATAATTAAAATATAAATATATACGTTAAAATATTTATATTATGTTAATAATATATATAAATTTAATTTTCTTTGCTTATTATATATGCTTTGTTATCTTGGCTTTTTTTAATAAATTTTTTTGACTCTGCCCCTATCAGAGCATATCCTAAACAAACATGAAATGTGAATCAAATACATATGCTTTGTCCAAGCATACAAGACTGAATAACTCCCATAAATCATGATTAATGGCTAAGTTGTTATTATAAATTAATCAGTGGAAGATACAAGTTCATAAAGAAGTGGCTGAAATGCTTGACATAGAAACAAGTTGACATGAAAAAACAGAAGGAAAGTGAAATGAAAGAAAACAAGTGGATTAGAAAGGGACGTAATGGAAGGAAGGAAGTGACTTCAGCAGTTTCGTAGATGTGGAGTCTCTTTCACCAGGCTGGATGCCTCACCAAATTGCATTCCTTTTTGTCCACTTCCTCTCCCAACTCCATCAAAATATTCATACAATCTTCTCATTTCTTGATTCTTTACACCCACACACACACACGATATTTTGGATCTGCCCCAAATCGAGTTAAGGAAATTTAATGGAATCTTAGACTAATTTAGATGGAGCATTGTAGACCCTTTTAAGTGGTGTGGGATCTACCATGTAGATTCAATGCTATTATATTTTCAGGACTCGGCCTTAAAACCACTATAGATAACTTAAAAACAACCCTTTACTAGTTGATCCAGATGCTCTTAGCAGTGGTAAAATGGATGTTTTTCAATTTAAAAGAAATTTGGAGAGAAGCGAGCATTGGCACATTTGACAAAATGGTCGTATGATTCTGGTAGAAATATAAATTACAGGAATAGAGATGGATGAGGGATGACCAAGCAGCAGCCTCAAGAGACAAGATAACATATAGAAATAGAGACGTTGCTGTGGTGCCATGTGCTTTTAGTATATTTTATATAAGAGCCACTTCATAGAAAGGCAGGATTGGTGAGAGTCATGTCATGACCCTCTAAGCTTTTAATTTTCCGATTGTGTTACTATTATATATGTGATATGCATTTTTTGGCCTCTGTAATTTATGTTATCAATCCAGACTTGCTCGTTATTAAATCTTGAATCCAGCAATGGGGTGAGCAGAAGATAAAAATATCTTTGGATTTAGAAGTATTTTATTCATGTGGGGGCTGAGGGAATCATCAACACGAGATTAAAAAAACTGCTTCCCACTCTATGACTACTAGACTTACTACTGATTGCCTTCTAACCAGAAGCAAAAGACAAAGCATAATGAGAAGGCACCGTTCTTTTTAAAGGATATTGACTAAATTGATTTTTAATTTATAAGTTGGGGATGACTTAATTTATTTTTATTCAATATTTTTTTAATTTTCAAAAACGATACAATATAATTATTATTATTTATAAAATTAATTTTAATCATTAATTAATTGAAAATAACATGAAAGAACCTTAAAAATAAATAAAAGAAAAAATAAAAGTAAATGATCTAAACATTAAAAACAAAAATAAAAAATTACAATAAAAGATCAATACAATTTTATTAATCATTTTTTTTATAATTTTGATGTTTTCTTCAATTATTTGTTGGTCAATTAAAGGTCAAATTTAATTTTTATTTATGGTTAGAGCTAGAATGGATCACTCTCACAAGTTAAAAGAAAATATTATATAAAAAATAAATTTTAAATTTCAAATATTTTTAAACATATAATTTAAAAGTTAATTTACTTTTTTATTTTTCAAATACTAAATTGAAACAATATAAATATTAAAAATCAATGTCCAGCTGCCTCCAACGATCTTTTTCCACCAGTCAGCAGCTCTGAGATCCCAGATTTCTCATGCTGCTTCCTGGCTTACAGCTTATCATCCACTCCCACTCACACTTCCAACGTCTTTTCAACTTTTCAAGTGGATTATTTCGGGCCACGTGATTTCATATGCTCCAAAGGAAAGAGAAAAAAAAAAAAAAAAACACCTGAGCTCATTTGATCCAAGAATTCAAACCAAAAATATCGATGCCCCAAATTTGCATAAAAAAGAATACCTTTCCCATAATTTTTTTCAAAAATTAAATGACACTATTTTCCTAAAACATTCTCTGCTAATAGCAATTTTGTTCCTAAAATAAATGATAATGCATCATAACTTAAATCTAATTGACATGAGAGATAACACTTTCGATCAAATTTAAATCTCAATCAAAATTCTTAATGGTCAATGTTGGGATAGTTAACATGAGAAGCAAATATATTAAGCTTTAATTACTTTAGGCACAAAATTGGTATAAAATAATTTAAAATGCTAAGTGCTCATTGAAAAATAATCCCGAATAAAAATTCCCATGGCCTTTTTTTAAACTTGAAACGGCCCTGCAGCTACACTGAGATCAACCATACTTCCAGACGGCAGAGTGCCAAGGTGACAAAATTTTCTATGGAAAAAACTATATTTTTTACAAACTTGGTCTTTTCCTCTTTGGTTCGGCACAAATACCCAGGACTCAAGATTGATTCTAACTATACTATCAATTAGTGCACTGTCTAGAGCCGAAATGCATTCTCAGATTACAGTGAGCCTAGCTGATCATGTCTACTAGACTATTAACCATGGTGAGGATCAGAAGCCAGAACATCATCTAGCATATAGGATTAAACACATACAGTCACGCGAAGCCCATCGTGTTCTTGCAAAGGCCACCCCGTTAATAATAACCACCTTCTTCTTGCACCAATATCTCCATAGTAATTGCAGTTTTTCTCTTGTTATATCAAACTTTCATCCTCTTTGCAGGTCCTTGATCAATTATAGGATCAACAAGAGCAGCTTGCGACTCTCCTGCTTCTTGACCTTCGGGTCCTTTCTCAGTTTCTGCAGTTGGTGGTGGAACGTAACCTTCAGGAAATGGTGGTGGAGGTGGAGCTGGAGATAGCTGGAACGGCAAATTAATAATATCCAAGTCAAGACAAACCAAAATTTTACGTTCCATATTAAAAGTGGGACATGACATTTATCAGCCAATTCAGAACAAAGATGACTTATATTCAACTGAAATTTAAATGTATACATCATTCAACATATTCACAACAGCCCGAAAGAGACATTACCAACAGGGTAAAAAGATAACAAAAGATAACCAGCATGCACATTTCATATTATTTCACAACTTGATTTCATAGATAATAAGGACATGAATTTTTTCTCCTAAGCCTTTCCCTTTGTTTAACATTCACCTGCAAAGAGGTGTTCAACAAAGGAAGCATGGAAAACCCCTATCATTTCAACGTACCTTACGCTTTAGGGATGCAAGAATGTGATCCACCCGCATAACTTCTTTTATGTCGATTGTCTCTTTACCAGCCTTTGCTTCTGGCACTACAGGCTCATTTTCAGAATCAACTGAAGCAGAAAGAGGAAACAAAATTCAAGTAACATTCACAGAAGTCAGCACTGAACTAGTTAAATGGTTATATACTTCAAGAAATGGTAAACAGGCAGGCAGAACATGACAGGTGTAGAAAACTGGATGGCAAAGTAACGCTAGCCGCATTTCCTCAGATGCTTGCAATAGTAAATCCTCACATGGCTTAAATGCCGCATTCTAACAACACTTATCCTGGTAATCCATAGACAAATATCCCAATAGTCCAAACTCTTCAAAAGTTTATTCTCTTCAGCAAGACAGAAGTTTTGAGGGTGAGAGGGTATAAAATGGCATTGCAATAGCTCATTGCCAGAACAAATTAAGACTGATCAATGGAGCATACATATCATAGTGAGTAACAGAGTCCGACATTAATCCCCCACCCCATTTAAAAAAAAAAAAAAAACAACAAAACTCTACTTACCGTATCCTATCTTCTCCAACTTTGATGCAGCCGTACTAAAGGCCTTCTGTATATGATATAGTGCCCTTCCCTGCAAGAACAAGCACAGCAAGGATTTGAGCAAAACCTTTTCTCTCAATTTGTTTTAAACAGAAAGAGAAAAAGATAGGAAACTGCACTGAGTTGATTGGATAAAGCATAATAGATATATTGTTGCTGTAATGTCACAAAAAATTTAAAATGGTAAGCCACATTTTTAACATCCAGATTCAGAACCTAATAGGCTATTGCTGCTTTTGTATGAAAAACCAGAAGTCAGAATTTCAGGATTGACAAAAGAAATTTGTAATTTTCACAATTACCAATATCCGCTTTTTCTTGCAAATAAGTAATCACATGTCAAGGTCATTCCTAATTCTAATAATCAAATATAAAATATTAATTTACAATTCGAGCAGCAAAGACATTGCATAGTTGTGGTGCTTGGTATATTGAACCATCCAAGATGTAATATGCTAGCATCGGTGTAACTTTCTCAGGGCCATCTCTCTTTTGCTTGCGAATAACAAAAAGGTGAGGTTCCATAACTTCACAGAGCATGTACTCTATGCCTGTCATTTTCCTGAAGAGCGTGACAGTCATGATTTAGTCCAAATAATATTTTCTAGAATCAAGGAGCAAGATTAAATTTCTTTTCATGTAGAGGCTAAATGCATAAGTGAAATCAACCAAATAATCATAACAAAAAGAACAGCATAATTTTATCCCAAATAAATGAACAATGTACAGCCGTCTATGACCCATGATCCCCATCTCACTCCTGGCTCTTTTGTCTTTGCATTAGGCAGTCATGTAGGGTGAATAATGAAACATATGTTTGACACAATTGCATTAGGACTATTGCCAGTCTTGTTCAGACTTAACGTATGTCTAACAAGACTTATGGTCATTCATTATTGATTTAGTCTGAGTTAAAATTCCCCCAGCACAAATGTCACGAAAAGGAGCATTCTGAATCTTAAAACATCCGAATTGACTTTCACGTCAACATATGCAAATCATTAGTTCGAATTTTCATATATATTCTGCTTGAAATCTTTAAGTGACAGTTCTATAGCTTTCGTGTTGCTGCCTCCAAGAGTGCTATGTGATTTTTAAATCAGAATTCAGTCTTTAAATCAGACCACCGATGATCAGAGTGATTTTGTTTCTTCTGATGAAAGGAAAATGTCTTTTGGCAGAAACATCTAAGAACCACTCCCAAAAAATATTATTATCTATGCAAAAAAGAAAAAAAAAAGAAAAAAAGAAGATTCAAGCTTCCGACTTTTCTCCTTCCCACATTTCCGCTGCAAATAGACTAGCTCAAGAATAATTCCAGGTTCAAGAATGTTATCCTCAATAAACATAGATTCTTACACCACTCATTTCCCAACTAGTGTCTCATCCACTTTTCCTAAAACCCTAGTTAATCCCAACATTCAGTAAACGAGTGAATCATGCGGACAGATCCACTTACACGATGAGGATTCAGATGGTATGTATCTTACGATAATTGAGACGGATCGAGAGGATGGATTGAGCGCATTCTAAGCTGTTCATTGTTGCAGGTCCAGTCGTAGAAAGGGGACAAGGCGAAATAATCGAACACTAGGTTGCGATCGAGAGGGTAAGTATTGAGCCAGAGCTGATCTCGGAAGCATATTCCAGTCATGTCAGTCCCCGGCGGTTGTGGGGGCGGCGGCGCAGCTCCGTCGAACAATGGATTTCCCGGCAGCCCCATCGGAGGTGTCGCCATCGCGGCCTCGCAGCGCATGATCACGCTTGCTTGACACAGCTTCCATATCATGTAACGAGTCAGGGGCGTTTGCGCGGAAACTGTGTCGTTTCGCAGTAGCGAAATAATCCACACGTCACGTGTCAAAAAAAATTTTACACGCCACGTCAAGAGTCAAGACTCGAGACGCGAACTTAAAATAAATAAATAAATACACACATGCCACGCAAGAAATGGGCCAAAAAATAAGAACATGAAAAAATGAATAGAAAAAACGACAATAATTTTTTTTAAAATATATAAATAATAATTTAATTTTTTAAAATATTATAATTTTTTTAAATCTTTAAGTATTTTTTTGTTATTAATAAATTTATATGAATTATCAAATTATTCTTATAAAAAATAAATGATTCACAATTTTATTTTATATTTGTAATTTTTTTTTATTCATAATAATGCAATAATAAATTATAACTTTACATGTTAAATTTTTTATTTACTATTGTATTGTTGTGAATATAAAAAATTTATTATTGCATTGCTGCGGATATAATAAAAAAAGTTACGAATATAAAAAAAGTTATAAATTATTTATTTTTAATAAAAATAATTTGATAATTTAAATAAATTTATTAATGAAAGAAAAGTCTTTAAAAACTTTTAAAAAATTATGACATTTTAAATAATTAAATTATTATTTATATATTTTAAAAAAATTTTATTTTTTTTCAAACGAATAAGTGAATGGGCCAAAAATGATTTACAAAATTAATTTTAAAATTTTATGATATCAAAATCAGAAGACTAAATTTTGACTTATAGCATGACACACTTCACGCCCACAGCGCAAAGCCATGCTTTTCTATTTAGTATTTACACACTTGTTTAAAAGATAAGTTATTTAGTTTGTCAAAAAAAAATTATTGAAATAAATATTATTATATTTTCTTTTAGTTAGCCAACCATAATAAAATGAAATCACATTTCTTCACTTTTTTTTCCTTCTCTTCATTTTCATTACTTTTGTTACTTCCTCCATTAAAAAAATTAAGATATTTTAAACCAAATTATACCTCCCAATAAATTAATTAATTATCTTTAAATGAATATTTTCTTCCTATGTCTGCCTTTATTTAGTGTGTTTTCCTTAAAGGTGAATAGTTAAGTGGTATATTTATTGAAAGTATTTAAAAAAAAAACTCATTAATCATTCATTAAAATGTCTTTTATTTTTTTTAACATCTAAACCAAAAGAATGTCTTATAAATATATTAAGTTTTAGTTTTTAAAAAATATTAATTACATTTGTTAAAGAAATGCCATTCATACTGCTAACTACTTACGACGACAGACATTTTATTTCACATTATTATTATTAGCACACAACCATTCACAAAAAACGAAACCATTTAACAAAAATCAAATTTCTCTGGATGTTTTGGGATGCCATCATCTAGCATTTTTAATTTATCTAACTCAGATGCGTAGAATTTAAACTTGAGATCTCAGAATAAAATATTGTCACTCTTTCGACCAGTAAACTAAGCACCTTTCATTTTTAATTCCAGGCTTCTAGATTCTTTATAATTAGATAGACATGCATTATAGCTTGTGTTCATCAAGAGAAGTCAGAATCAAAATAAAAAGAAAAAACTGGATAAAATAATATGCGCCCATCAATCAAAAAAGAAAAAAAAAGAAGGCCATGTCACAAACTTTCACACTGATTTAACATTAAACAAACCACACAAATAGTTCATAACAAGTATAAACGGTACACTTGATCACTGTCAATTTGAAGACACACGAAGACAACAGATCACGAAAAGAAGAACACGAGCATTGACGAACACTAACGCACAGTACATATTCCTAGTTTGACATACAACGTATTATGTAATTGCAAGAGCCATCTGTCTTCAAGCCGAACCTGAACTTAGTTACCGAATTTAATTACCAGTGATATGGATATGGTTCCCACACAATGTTAAATTCGACAACAAGTTGTTCGTCTTCTTCTTCATCCTCTACCTCTTCTTCATCTTCGTTTGTGGCATCAACATCATCACCAAAGATCATCTCATCATCATCTTCTGACATTTCAGACACCATCTCATCATCATCATCTTCTTCTGACATTTCAGACATCATCTCGTCATCTTCTGACGTTTGATCATCATCATCATGATCAGGTACGAGGTATGGTAGTTCCTCACCATAAAACTCCTTCAGCATGCTGTAATTGTAGACATTAAACTTCACTTGCGCTACGTAATGCCTCCAGCATTTGGGTTTGTTAGGCTCGGCACAGCATGTTGGATTCTTTTTCCTTTTCATCACTAACTCATTAACGAGGTCCTGCAATACATTGTAAATCGCACCAACAAGTTGAGCAATATTATTAATTAATCACACTATGTCCAATACATGCGTACGTATATATGCCTACACAACTTAATTATAGATTCCCTTACATTCACAAAAATGGATGACATAGAGATGATACATATATATATATATATATAGAGAGAGAGAGAGAGAGAGAGAGAGAGGAGATCGGAGACACAAAAAAAAAATGATGTGGGCTTATACATAGTTTTATTATGATGGACCTTCAAATGTATGAATGCGTGAACGTATACGGATTTCAATTTCAATACATTATCTTCTCTCATACATCATCAATAGAGCAAAAAAGTGATTTTAGGGATAAAACCAGTCTTTGTATATTTAGATTGATAGATGACAGGAATATAATAAATATTATATACTTTGATTTTTGTACAAAGAGAATCAATTTATAGATAATGTAGAATCTATAGCTTACCATTCTACTTATAAGCTATGAATAGTATTACTCTCCCAAGACTTCACGTAAATACAAGATTATATTTTAATAGATTTGGATTTGGTGACTTTAAGCATTGAATGCTTGTACTATCTAAGTCATTGATCCATATCAATGATTCGAATAAATTGACTTATTTATTAATCTTAATGGAATATGAATTTACAATTATTGATATGGATTTTAATGATTTAAATTATACAAATACTAAGTACAATTATTGAATTCAAATCTAGTTTCAAGAGGCTTGGATCATTTTAGGTCTATTATGTAGCTTTATATATCTTACATTTTTTGCTAGAGACTATTTTCATGTCTTGAACATGTGAGCACTAGGTTACATCGTGACAACTTTATTATCCTGTGCTTCAAACTCTATGTAATGGAGGGACAGATCCTTCATGATATACATGGGGGGCAAATTTTGTAATAACATAAAACATGGAGGCTAGAATCAATTTTAGCAATTTTAGTGAAGAAAATTTTAAAAATTTTCAAAGAGAAGTATGGTGCTTGCCCCCTAGCTAGAGCTGTCCCTGATGTGATGTAATGTACTAAAATAACATGTCTAGCTAGTTTCTTCTATATGTTGTCATAATTAACCAAAAGGGGCATTATATATCTAATATTCGAGATTTTCCTCCATGCATCGTATGATAGTAAAGTTGAGAGAATTCATATTCATTTGGTGGCAAAACTAGAAGGTGCACCATGGAGATATGATTAAATAATACGACCTTTTAAGTGGAATGTATTATAATATTTAAAGTGTCTTCTATATTTTATATATGCGCATCATGCATGATGGAGAAACCTTGGAATAATAGGAACACATACATCTGACATGTAAATACGAGGATTAAATTAAAATAACAGTGTACGTAGCATAAATTATGTTATGACTTACGCCAATGAAAGAAGCCCTATGAGGGGATTTTAAGGTTTGTTCCGAAGTCATCAAGACAACCAGAGTCCTTGGATGACAAGTCCAAAATAACGCATTGAGAAAAGAAGTGTAGTTTGAAGCCTCTGGAATGCAATTATCAAGTATCAACATCTTCAGGCTTGAAGGACGGTGCACGACTGGTTCTTCTCTTAACTCTTCCAGAGTTTTTACCACATTCTGTCCATTCTAAAACTCGTTTCAAAGTCAAGTCAGAACACAAAATCACTTGTTAAATTCATGACATTCAAGTTATTGAACTATAATTGTTGACCGTATACATACACCTAATTAAAGATATCTTCAAAGAAAATGATACTATGGGAGAGAATAAGATTTAATTTCGTCAAAATATGATCATGCACATCTTAAACAACAACGTTGCAAGTAATTAATTTACCCTTAATCATATTAAGAATCTTAGAAAATTAAAACTACCAACTCGGTCTCTATATTGTTGTTGAGACGGATGGAAAATTTATAAGCTTCCAATATCTATATTCTCTTAAGGGCAATTAGTAATTACGTGCGATTCTATTTAAAGAAATATATAAATATTATGAGATTCTAATGGAGATTAAACAATGCGGAAAATGAATGTAAATCAGTTAATTGGCAATAATGACGGTAACAATACAGGAAGCTTAATTATAAAATAGAAACAGTGTAGAACATATGCGCCCGCACACTTCTTCTAAACCCCATGGTAATTTCTTTCGCTGAAGCATATGGCTTTAATTTCACATACCCAAAAGCTATAAGTTTTATTATTTTTGGGTTTTAAAAGGCAGAGGAAGCTAGGGTTTGAGGTAGTTTGACATTTTGAGAGTTGTCTAAGGTTGAAGAGGCATTGTGAGAAGCTGATCTCATGCCTTTAATTTAATTTGGAGGCTAGATTTGGAGAATTGAGAGTCTTGGGAAACTACTTGAGTGATAATTTATGCTGCCCTTTTTCTTCTTATATGTATTCTATCTTTGAGATTTTCATTGAGTTTAACTTCGTGTATTTCAAGCCATGTGTGGCTAGACTTATGTAAACTCTAGGGTATGAATCTATATGTTAAGCATTGCGATTGGATTTTTCCTTGACTATTGTTGTTTAATGGATGCTTTTATATATGTTTAATCTAGGTTATCTTTCTCCCGCTAGTGATTGGCCAACTCTTGTGTGTGTGGGTAATTAAGTGTTGGGATGCGCCCTTGAGAAAAGAAAATTGCAAGCAGACCATTGGTTAAGTAACCTAGAATTAGAGCTTGTCTAATTTTGCAATTG